GAATGGGGCCTTAGTGCTGGGTTCATGTCTGTATTCAGACTGGGGATGCGTCCTAAAATGCCTGTCCCCTATATAAGGACTGTGATAATTATTTCTAAGGGGGCCAAAACAGTTATGTGTAGAAATGTTAAACCCAGGTCTGGGTGAGCTAGGTCTAAGTGAAGCAAAGAAAAAATTCCTGTGTTTTTCAATAGGTGTATGTGGAGGTATAAAACCTCTCTTAGGTTTGGAATCCTTAGCAAGATGATTGGAGTCTGAGTCGTTAGAAGTAACAAAATCATAATTAGAGGCTTCCCACTTGAACACCAATTTTTCTTTGTAATCGTGATAGTCCCTAGTTTACTTTTTCTTTTTCTTGATCTTTTGTTCTTTTAATGTTTTATCAAGAAGTAATTTCAGTTTATCTGATTCTGCCTTATATTCTTCTTTATCCATATAAGGGACTAATAATTCCTTAGTTTTATTTATTTCCATGTCTAAATCACAACAGGAACCCTCATTCCCTTAAATTTATTGGTATTGACACTATTCAAAAACATTGGAGAGGAGTTCATAAAAAGAGAGCAGAGTCTATGCTAGAGACGAATGGATTTATCTCTCCACATGGTCTAAACATAGATTTAGACATCAATTGTTTCATAGACACCAACTAACTTTGCTTTTTGCATATTTTTGTTTTTACTGTTTACATCCATATGTACACTATTATATCTTGGAACGTTTTATTCCTCATAGCGTTGCTATTTTTACATTTATTCAGTTGTATTGTTATATTCTTATTCTCATTTTCATTTTTTATATATATATATATATATATTTTTATACATATTATTTATATACTTGTCAATTATTTACTATGCTATCATTAGGTTTCTGTTTGCTCTTAATATTTATAATTGGGTGATCCCAGTTATTAGGTATCTATCTTTGACTGGACCATCCTATTTTATCTGTATGTACTTTATTTTATACATTTATCTTACCCATTAGTGATTGAACAGGGTGATACACCCTTTCAATATCTATTTTAAACATTTTTCTGCTTATTATCCACAGCTAGATGGTGCTATGCAAACTGCTACCATCTGTTTTATTTGCTTTTCCAATTCTTTGTTATATGAATATCGATTCACTGGCCGATATCTAGCAGTAAAAGACTCTTGGATAATTAGTGTTGACCAAAGAGTCCTGTTGATAATACATTTGTATCTATTTGTTCCTCTGTTCAATCACCCTGGTGGTCTAAGTGCTATTCAGGCTATTATGAGACTGATCACCGGTAAAATGGCCGCCGTTGTCGCTTACCACGCATGCGCAATCTGTATATTGTCATTCTTCCTATTACTACAGGAAAATGGCCGCCACGCACACGCACTGCGAATGCCCAGGACTCCCGCGATGACGTAGCGGCTATTCACAGTGCATGCGTGCCGAACGATATATAAAGGTCTTTGTTATCTCTGCACACTCCCTTTGAAAACGTGTCCTTTTACACGAAACGCGTCAGGTTAGATGACTACTACCTATTCCAGTGTTCCATATCCAGAGCACCAGGAGTAGGTCTTATATACTCCATGCGCAAGCACTTCTTCCATCTGGTTAGTGCAATCTATTCTCAGTTTCACCATCACAGAAGTCACGGATATTCTGCTTAATTATTTGATTGACTTTTCTACAGCGTTCACTCTTCACCTTGCACCTTATAACTTACGGATTTATAAGAATTGAACTATATGTTTTATACTGCTTTTTTTTTTCATTCATATGTGATTCTCCACCCAGATTTATTCATGCTATTGTTTATGGCTATTAGCGCTGCATTTTATTATTTATGGTTCATCATTTGAAGGTTATAGAGGTTAACTTTTATGTGAGCAGTTAGCCTTTTTATTCATATTTATTTTCATCCAGCGCTTGATTTGGCTTGACTTTTAAATGTAAAATATATTCGTACCACTTCTTAAGGTCCTTCCACCCGGGCATCCGTATATCCGTTTTTCACCAAAAACGGACCCCCATGTATTTCTATGGACTTGCGGATTTAAACGGATGAACATCTTTTTACATCCGCTAATGTCCGCATCTGTTAACATCCTACTTTTCTTCAGCAAAAAAAAAACCCGGAACGGACGAAAAATGGATGTACACGGATGAAAAATGGATCAAAACAGATGTAAACAGATGAAAAAACGGATGAAAAAACAGATGAAAAAACGGATGAAAAAACAGATGTAAACTCATCTATTTTACTTTTACAAAAAAACCCGGAACAGACGAAAAAAGGATGTAAATGGATCTAAATAGATGTACACGGATGAAAAACTGATCTAAACGGATGAAAAAAAACAGATGTAAACCAATGTAAACGGATGAAAAATGGATGAAAAACAGATGAAAAAACAGATGTAAACTCATCTGTTTTTTCTTTGAAAAAACGTGACTGAGCTGAAGAAAAAAAAAATGGAACGCCCATGTGAAAGGACCCTTAACAGATCACAGTGAGGCGGAATAACAACAAAAAATCCATACAGCACAGAAGGGAGAACACGATGGTCGGTTCTGATTTATTGGACCAATCAATGACTTCGATATCATTCCAGAGCGATACATATGGGAGCTGTCAATATATTCGTACCACTTCTTAGGGGCCTTCCACCCGGGTGTTCCATATGTCCATTTTTCATCTGTCCGTTTACGGATGAAAAACGGACCCCCATGTATTTCTATGGACTTGCGGATATAAACAGATGAACATTTTTTTACACCCGCTAATGTCCGCATCTGTTAACATCCGTTTAACGGATCTAAACAGAGGAAAAGCGGATGTAAACCAATGTAAATAGATGAAAAAACGGATGTAAATGGATTAAAAGGGGATAAAAAATAGATGGAAAAACGGATGAAAAATAGATGAAAAAAACAGATGTAAACTCATCCGTTTTTCCTTTGAAAAAATATGACTGAGCTGAAGAAAAAAAAAAAAACGGAATGCCCGTGTGAAAGGACCCTTACCAGATCACAGTGAGGCGGAATAACAACCAAAAATGTAAACAACACAGAAGGGAGAACACGATGGTCGGTTTTGATTTATTGGACCAATGACTTCAATACCTTTCCAGAGCGATACATATCGGAGATGTCAATACCACTTCTTAAGGTTCTTCCACCCGGGCATTCAGTACGTCCGTTTTTCATCTGTCCATTTATGGATGAACAATCGACCCCCATGTATCTCTATGGACTTGCGAATGTAAACAGATGAACATTTTTTTTATATCCGCTAATGTACGCATCTGTTAACATCCGTTTTTTGAGCGGAAAAAAAACCATATTTTTCCTCTGCTAAAAAAAAAAAAAACCCAGAACATGGATGAAAAATGAATGTAAATGGATGAAAATTGATCTACATGGATGAATACGGATGAATATGGATGAAAAACGGATGTAAACCAATGTAAACGGATGAAAAATGGAAGTAAATGGATCTAAACAGATGAAAACGGATCTAAACAGTTGAAAAATGAATGTAAACGGATGAAACTGGATCTATATGGATGAAAACAGATGTAAACGGACAAATGGATGAAAAACAGATTTAAACGGAAGAAAAATGGATGTAAACGGATAAAAAATGGATAAAAACGGATGAAAAATGAATGTAAATGGATGTAAACTGATTATAAACGAATGAAACTGGATCTACATGGATGAAAACGGATGTAAACGGACAAATGGATGAAAAACGGATTTAAACTGATCTAAAACGGAGGAAAAATGGATGTAAACAGATGAAAAATGGATGTAAACAGATTAAAAAAAATGGATGAAAACAGATGAAAAATGAATGTAAATAAATGGAAACAGACATAAATGGATGAAAAATAGATGTAAACTGATCTAAACGAATGAAAAATGAATGTAAACGGATGAAACTGGATCTACATGGATGAAAAACGGATTTAAACTGATCTAAACAGAGGAAAAATTGATGTAAACGGATCAAAAATGGATAAAAAATGAATGTAAATAGATGGAAACAGACGTAAACGGATGGAAACTGAGCTAAACGGATGAAAAACAGATGTAAACCAATGTAAACGGATGAAAAAGAAGATATAAACTCATCCGTTTTTTCTTTGAGAAAAGGTGACAGAACCGGAACGCCTGTGTGAAAGGACCCTAACTTGGCTGAAGTCAAGAAGCTGAAGTCCATTAGTCAGTCCGAGTTCCTCGTTCCCGATGGCGGAGAAGAACATTTCCAGCTTATGCAGGCTGTAGAGGAACTCTTCAGTAACATTGTATATATTTATAAAAAATTAAAGTGAAACCATTCAAATAGAAGACAGAGCCAATCCGGCTGAGTAAATAGCCGTCTGATCTCTAGCACACCCCAAGGCGTGCCGGATCAGAACCAGGACCGGGGGTGGGCATGGTGTCTAAGAAGGCTACCTTTCACAGTGAAACATTTCCCGCACTCTGAACACGAATAAGGGCGCTCACCCGTGTGACTTCTCTGGTGTATAAGAAGTTTTCCTTTTTCGGTGAAACATTTCCCGCACTCTGAACATAAATAAGGACGCTCGCCCGTGTGAATTTTTTGATGTGTAAGAAGGTTTCTTTTTGCAATAAAACACTTCCCGCACTCTGAACAGGAATAAGGGCGCTCACCCGTGTGAATTCTCTGGTGTGTAAGAAGGTCTCCTCTCACAGTGAAACATTTCCCACACTCTGAACATGAATAGGGATAATCACCAGTGTGAATTATCTTGTGTCTTAAAAGCTGTATTTTCCAACGGAAACATTTTCCACATTCTGGGCACAAATAAAGACCCTGACCAATGTGAAGTTTCTGGTGTCTAATGAGGTTCTCGTTACTAGTGAAACATTTCCCGCACTCTGCACATGAGAATGTACGCTCGCTCTTGTGACTTCTTTGGTGTGTAAGAAACTTATCTTTCACAGTAAAACATTTTCCGCACTCTGAACATGAATAAGGAGGCTCACCTGTGTGAATTCTCTGGTGCTTCTGAAGGGTTGTGTTGCGAGTAAAACTTTTCCCACACACTGAGCATGAATAAGGACGCTCCCCTGTGTGAATTCTCCGGTGATATAAAATAGTTTCCTTTGTGGGTAAAACATTTCCCGCACTCTGAACATGAATAAGAACGCTGACTTGTGTGAGTTCTTTGGTGTTTTAGAAGGTTTCCTTTGAGAGTAAAACATTTCCCGCACTCTGAACATGAAAAAGAACCCTCGCCTGTGTGACTCCTCTGGTGATTTAGAAGGTTTCCTTTAAGAGTAAAACATTTCCCGCACTCTGAACATAAATAAGAACGCTCGCCTGTGTGGGTTCTCTGGTGGTTTAGAAGGCTTCTTTTGTGAGTAAAACACTTTCCACACTCGGAACATGAGAAGGAATGCTCACCTACGTGTCTGCTCTGGTGTCTCAGAAGTTCTTTATTCTCACTGAAACATTTCCCACACTCCATGCTGATGTGAGATTTGAGATGAATATGAAGTTTAGATTTGATTTTAAAAGATTTTTTCACACTCCGTACAGGACAGTGAAGGGTCTGCTGATCTAAGACGGTTCTCTGCTGCCTCCATACAATGCAATCTGTGATGTACAATATGAGGAACTGGATTTACTCCTGGAGAATATTGTTTGGCATCATTATTTTTTGAATTACAACCTGGAGGTACATTATGTCCATATATTAGAAGCAATATTGAAAAAAAATGTATTTCACATTTGCATCCACCATATAAATAATTCAGATTAAATATACAAAATATCCAAACAAACTATACCTCACCAAGTAACAATTGTGTATTGATGGCATCGTTATATTGAGGAATGGAGATGGACCTTCATATGGTGTCCAGTATCTCCTCCTCATTTGTTGGGAACATGACGTTATATTGAGGAATGGAGATGGACCCTTTCATATGGTGTACAGTATCTCCTCCTCATTTGTTGGGAACATGAGGTTATACTGAGGAATGGAGATGGACCTTCATATGGTGTCCAGTATCTCCTCATTTGTTGGGAACATGACGTTATATTGAGGAATGGAGATGGACCTTTCATATGGTGTACAGTATCTCCTCCTCATTTGTTGGGAACATGACGTTATATTGAGGAATGGAGATGGACCCTTCCATATGGTGTCCAGTATCTCCTCCTCATTTGTTGGGAACAAGATGTTATAAATTGAGGAATGGAGATGGACCTTTTATATGGTGTCCAGTATCTCCTCCTCATTTGTTGGGAACATGACGTTATATTGAGGAATGGGATGGACCTTTCATATGGTGTACCGTATCTTAACCTTATTCCTTTGGAACATACTTTATAGCCTTAAAAGTAAAATGAAAATATGATTGTTTCTGTATTTGTTTCTTACATGTGTTGATACAATGAGAAGATTCCTCCTGTTTGTTTTCCATAATCATCTCCGCCTCCTCCATAGACTGCTG